GAACAAAGTTAAATAAATTTGTTCGATTATTGGAGAGGCAAGCAGAAAGAATATGAAACCATCAGAAATGCCACTTCCCTTGCTTGCCGGATTATTTTCCTGTGATCTGTTCTCGAAGACAAATGCCAAGTAAAACAGACTCACGTCCGCGAAGCAGGGTCTTTCTTTCATCATACATCCATTGAATGGAATACTCTACCTGAGAATATAGTCACATGTAACAGTCTAACACAGTTTAAATGTGCTTTGCGCAGTTATTTGGAAATGTAAAGTTTGCGTCACTAATTGTCACTAAATCCATTGTTCAAACTTAACTTCTAGATTCTACTGAAAGTAAACAGTGTAAAATTGCGAGCAACAATTAGTCTGAAGACGTGTTTTTTGTGTAGGATTTTTTCCATATTTTTTTCTATTTTGGTCTCATTATTGGTGGCAGAAGTACTTATAAGAGTTTCTCTTTTTTCTGCTTCCCAGTTGGGAAATGTCTTTTCTTTCTTTTCTTTTGTATTCTACGTTTGTCTGACGAAATAAAATTCAAGATCAAGTATTGTTTTTAATCAAAATCAAATTAAAATGAATAGATTAAGTATAGTTCTGTTCTGTGTTATATAGAAAAAGAATGTACGCCTAAGGTTCAAATATTGATCAGAAGCAAATACAATTTCTGTGGTTTCTTCTAACACGGTGAAGGAACAGTAAAAAATTGTGAAATTCTTTGCAGTTATATGACTGTGTATGTTCCCGAATAATGTATAACATCACTTATCATAGAACGAGTCATCAATAAATGGAAGGAAAGGTTTTCTGACAAAAGGAAAAAATGCAACCCCCACCATATTGAGTTGATCATGAAATGAGATATTTTATGGGTATTTCGAACATCAAAGTTAGAAATGAATCAGTTTCCTCTTAGAATAGAAAAAGTATGCTGAAGTATTGAATTTGCAAAAGGACATTCTGTTAAAAAATATGACTAACTTATTTAACAGGACAGTTTCATGTTTTGTGATCGCTTATCTGGGGCAGGTGTGTTCAAATCTCATGCTGCCAACTGCAAACATCATTGTTTTCACTTCAGTTCTTATTCTCTGCATCGAAGTAACATTTTAAAATGACTCAATCACCCATAATTAAAGACTTCTGACTAGATATACGAAAAGAACACACAAATTTGTTTTCAAGAAATACGAACTTAATATTATTTAGTAGAGTAAATGTAAATCTTGTTTCGAAGGCCGACACTGACACAAGAAGATGGCGTACATTTATCATCTTTCTCCATTTCGATACAGATTTAAACTACTGATGATTAATATTCCTACGCTAAAATTTATTCTGTTATTGCCGGCATATTTTCTCTCATCAGATTAAATTTTTACACACCGTAAAAAACAGATGTTATTTTCGAAATAATACGTTTTCCGAGCATAGGCATATGAACTAATAATTTCCAAAGTGGATTTACTATCTACAATGTTACGATAATGTATTTAAGACAGTTCTCATTTTAAAGCGGCTTTTATAATAAAAGATCAAAAAATGCATTATACAATAAACAAGGAAAAGAATTTTCAAAATTAAAATGTAACAACACAGTACAAAAGACCAATTATAACATACTACTTCTGCATACCACCTGATTTTTTCTCCCCGCATCTTTTCTGCCTCGCCTATGAGCCAGTAAAATACTCAAGTTTCCGTAATCGTGTAACGTCATAAGAATCATCAAGAATATACCGACGTCTGACAGGCGCATTAACGTTAGTCACACAGTTCTGACGTCTGACTATCTTATTATTATTAGGGCTAATCTTATCTTCATCAGAGCTGGTTGAGCTGTCCTCCTCGGTGTCATCTTCATCTACTACAAATAGCCTTTTGACTAACTTTTTATCATCCAGTGGAATTGATCTCCCACCATTACTTTCGTACACTATCATACGTCTACTTTTAAAATTATACGAAACTGCAATGGCTTCTTCTTCAGAAAAGTATTCATCAACTCGGCATCTTTCGTTCGCAATAATATTTGTTGTAATACACCAAAATATATCTTTGTCTCATCTTTGGACATTAGCAGAAACTTATCCTTCAGGTAGGATACAACATAAGTATCAGTCGGCAAGTCAACTTTATAGCTCTCCAGAAACTCTTCGTTATTACACATCTATCTTAAGGCTACACTTTCTTCACCATCTTTTTTGACTGTTATCGTATGGAATAGTAAAAAAAAAAAATAAACATTTCAGCTCAATCTGATGAAATTGCGAGTGGATCGCAATGTACGCCATGTTTGCTCAGCTCTATTTTGTGTTTTATGCATATGTATAGCAAGCAGCAGAAAATTTTACTTTTCGTACAACGCTTGTAACTCGGCGAAATAAAAGGCACCTCGAGATTTCTTGAGAGCGACACAACTTTTGCTTTATTAACTTTAGTCAGAATCTCTTTTCTACAAGTTTCAAGTCATCATCCTCAACCGTTCTTTAGAAATCCCGAAAAGAAAAGAGGAGCGCTGAGAATGAAGATGGATCCAGTAGTACTTACTGACTTTGGTTATTTGTGAATCACTTGTTATTCTGGCTTTTTGACGTATGTGTTGCTAATGGTTTGTCTCATACAAGCGAATAAAAGAGCGCACAGCATATCTGATCCACCGTTTATATACGAAGTTGAATGCAATCTTTTATTATATTGACTCTGAAAGAGTGGCAAACAAGAGCATTATTCAAAATTGATAAGAAGCACTCATTTTCTTTCCCACTGACAATGATATTATTCATCTCAAAAAATTAAAAAAAAGGAAACGTTAGAAAACGAGCCCAACTTGTGACATGATCCGTTCAAATGGGAAATTTGGCAGCGACACTTATTTGCTTCATATACTTAGGAAATAGTCTAAGTTATTGCGCAAGAATATTCAAGGTACATAGAGTATAGCCAAGATTATTGCTAGTATAAACAGATTGAGTTTATTGTTAAAGGATAACTTTTTATTTGTAAATAAACGTTAGGTGAGTAAGACCTTAGTTCGCACGGGAACCTAACAGTGGTGCACTAGTCGGTGTTATTGTCAATCCACTAGCACAATAACATGACAAATTTCAGAAAGTTCTCTTTGTGAGCCTGGGCGCTCTAGCGGAAGATTCCGTTGGCAGGGATTCCCGAATGAAAGGGATTGAGCTTTTCTGGTGGTAATTTACAATTAGGTAAAATTTAAGAAATTGGTACACAGTAAGTACAAGCGATCCAATCAAACCATAATGAGCGAAATTTTTTTTTGACAATCAGCACCAAAAGAAAATCTACAATCATTCATAGGTGTGTGGGGCGGTACATTTCGTATTACTCAGACTGTAATGGTTTATGATCGAAAATGTACAATCGTTTCTGGGATGTACTTTTTACAAGCAACAATATTAGAAATACAATTTAGTCATGAACCAGAATATTGTTTGGTGAAATTAGATTATAATCACACTGAGTTATATGTTGAATCTAGTGCCATATTTCAAATGCCATTTGAAGGTTTAGAAGATGATGATATGGACAATGATAAATTAGTGCGTTTGAAATGTATTCAGTCTCTGATAAATAATCCATCATCCATCAGAGCCGATGACAAATTAATAACACAATTAGATCGCTCCGATGGCCGATATTCGTATACTCAGTCAGAAACAGGTTCTGATGAACAATTTCCAGAACATTATATTGATCCATTCGATAGGCGATATAATTCTAGTGACGATGATGACGAAGAAGAATACTCAGCAACACATTCCCAACCTACAACACCTGGTATAACGCTAGCAACAGTCCGATAACATTGTTTCCATGATCAACACATGCGTGACTTTGCCTGTTATCTTCAAAATACAGCATATCGATTTTTAGAAAATTACACGAAACGAATACAAGCTAATATGGAAGAAACACCATTAAAAGAAAATAATTCATCGTTTGAAGCACACGAGCAAATATTTGGCGGGGAAGAAATGACGTGGCCTGAAGATGGTGAGATATGGTATGACCGTCAAATACAACAACAGCGTCCACAATTTATTCGGACAACACCATCTCATTCACATGATAATGCAAAGCTAAAACAAATAATAACAGCTGCTGCTAGTGAACAACATGTAATAACAAAACTAGTAATAAATACAAATAATCTTCAGCAAAATCAACTACAAGTGGAACATGAATTATTGAAACCACCACAACAAAATCGCAAGCGACAACACCTTTCATGGCTCCAACAAAAAATGTTGAACAATGGTCAACAAAACAACCTTCATTTTTAGGTACTATAAATGGCGTTTCTTCTGATCAAATTGCACAGAAGCCTCAGCAGTCCTCCAGATAAACAACGTATCCATTCTGTGGGCCCCAATTAAAATCCTCACTTGGTGGTGGTTGGATACTCAATACTTGGTTCTTAATGTCATTGTTCTTATTCATGTTAGCCGGTGGATTATTATCGGGACCAACACTATCGATAGCTGGTGATTATGCACATCTTGTTGAATTAATTGTGGCAATTATTTCCGTGGGCATTATGTTTGGACATAGCACACAAGATGGTAGTTTGTTCAATTCTAAAAATATTCAAAATACAGTTGGACGTTGGGACTGGCGGTAAGAAAAGTGTTGAAACTAATTTAGCTGGTAAATAGTGTTATTGGTCTAATGAATCATGCTGGTAGCAGCTTCATGAATGATTGATCAAAGTCCAATAGTTATAATCTTAAAATGGTACATAGTGTAAGATAAGAAGACACATAAGCTATCCCACTATTTATTATCCCACAACGAAGGGGCCAAAAGAACAGGCTCGCCTCCAAATGTTACTGCCCTATTTCCACTGAAAAACACAACTTTCGTCATGTGACGAAATTTCGCCGTTACTGATGACGAAAGTGCTTTGAAACTACTGAATAACGTTAGGATCCCGAACTCATTGTTCCATGTTTCCTTATTCATTTTGTTGCTTTTCGCGCTCTGGAGCTATTCGTAAATTGCACACAGTTTGCTAAAAAGGGTCGGAAAGAGCTGAAAGACGTCTCATTTTGTTCAGATTTGAGAATATTAGATCATGAAACGAGTAATAATTCCTCTTTCTGAAACATTTTAAAACTATTTCTAATATCAAGAGTTTTGAAAAGTGTCATTCTATTGAGACTTTCAAACATGAAAACAAGTGACGCGCAAAACAGTTTCTTATTTTCGTCATTCTGTCAATTAGCAATGAGAACAGTTCTCCAACTCATTCAAAATCAATTAAAATGACTTAAAACAAGAAATAGTTTTAGTCAAAATTGTGTGGGAATAATGGTTTAGTCGCCGTTAGACAGTTCTACTTTTCGACACTGTCGGATTTTTTGCTCGAAATTCGACAATGTCGAAACACGCTGTCGAAAAGTGTTTCTGGCGAACTGTAAAATTACCGGAATAATGAGTATACAGTATATACAAAAAGTCATTTTTGATCAGACAGTGAAGTATCTCCTGTAGTTTTGGTTCAATACGGTTCGAATTTTTTGCAAAAATGTATCGACTTATTGGTAAATAGATTAAAATTAAAAGTTAAACTGCTAATACAGTAACCTTCATTATAGTAATACGAGTGTAAATATCACAGGAAAAATAGAGAAATATTCGGTTCTTTTCGTGATATTTGTTTTCTTTTCTTATCGGTAAAACAATTTTTTGCACTTTTGATGTAAGACAAAAAGAAACAAAGCATAACGGACAGTTGGTATCACATTTCTTTTAGTAGTTCGTGTTGATTTGAAATTGATGCTGAAGTTTAATATGTAATTCTAAAATTATGCACAAGATGTGCTACAGGTTAGAGACTTACACTTCGTAGCAAAGTTCATGTGCAATAAGGAAATATAGTCTTCGCTGCGATAAAGGGGAAAAGACGATTGAAAAGTTGCAAAGTTGAATCACACAGATATTTCATGAAGGATTGAAAAGCATCAAAAGTTTATTCATTTTTTTATCTAGTTTAGCGGTTAAAAAGGTTTTTTCAACCAATGAGTGGATGTTTCAAGCGGTAACAAACCAGCCAGTTCATCAGATCCCGAATCGAGCAACAAGCAGTCTGTGCGTCTTATTAAAAGTGGTGCCGCTTCGCGATACCCTTTAAAATCTATAACTTGATGTTAATGGTTGTATTTCTTTGGCTTGGAACGAAGATCCGCAGAATTCGATACATTGAAAAGTGTACGGTTCCTAAGATTCTATTCGGAATCTGGCTGAACTTGGATAGAACTCTGATTCTGGTTCTACCAGAATCCGGTAGAATTACAGCAGAATTCAACTAGAATCTACTTCTTAGACAGTATTCATAGCGAGTTATATCAGTTCACACTTAGATACTCTCTAAGAATTGGCAGATTCTGGTTAATTCTGGAAGAACTTAGAGAATCAGATTTGAATTCTATTAGAATTTAATCAGAAGTGGACCACATTCTAGCAGAATTGAACCAGAAGAGTTGTATGAGAGTGAGTAGCAATACTCTGAATTCTACCATTTATGTAATTTTCCACGGAACTGTGGAAGCTGACGCGAGTCTTTTTTTGTGGCTTTTGACCTGTTTACATGGCAGTTAAGGTGTGAGCAACAATATGTGTTGCAAATATAATTTATTGAGTAAGGTTAGCGTTCATGCACAAGTTCTCCAAGCACTTTGTTCAACTACCCTGGCTTTCCAGCTTTCTCTTCGGGCCAAGGTAGGCGTTTCAGGCATGAGTCTACTGTTTATGACTGTGCAGCTAAAACGAAAAGATAGGCTAATAAGAGCTGATTGCTTTTATAAGTAATATGTGAGATGTTCAATTTAACCTGCCGATTTTACGTTTTATATTTTTTTCTTGCTTTTTACAACAGAAATATAAGGATTTCTGATTTTTCAGAAAACACAATATTTTCCAGCTCGGAAACAGATCTTACGAACGATTGGATAGAATAGACGCATAAATGGAAGAGTTTCTTAGTCACACTATCCTTAAATAAACAGTTAACAGGGTTTTCTTCTCTATACACCAATTTCAAGAGAAATGAACAGGGAATGTTTTGGTAACAAGGTGAGCTATGTGAGTTCAAAGGGAGAGGAGAAAAACTGAAAATAAAAGCTACACCATTCTTTCTGTAAACACCCATTATTTCTCGTCTCTTTGTCTATCAGATATCTTTAGATGTCTAAAACGGATTTGTTATTTCCAACTTGTTCGCGCATAATATTTGTAGCATTCAAATTATTCGTGCACACCTTTCATACCACAAATCTATGATAGTTATTTCCCACGCTTAGAATATCGTTCGATGTTTCATACTCTACCTCACAAAGTATACAGTTAGCGGCGGCACCAGGAACTTAGACTAGGCTGGACTCAGGCCCCCTGAATTTTGACCAGGGTGGGCGCAGCCTCACCGAATTTTGTAATGTAGTCCAGAAAAAAATTTTCTGGGTGGACTCAAAATATTTTAGAGTGGTTTGAGCCGACCCCAGCTCACCTGTGGCGCCACCGCTAGTATACAGTTCGGAGAAACGCCTGATTATACATTCGAGCTAAAACTCATGAAAAATAGAACTAAAATAGTGTTTCCAGTTTCAAGACGAAAGTATGGTACAGCGAAAAAGTAGAGATCGAATATATCCATTCTTGATTACACATACTATGAATAATACAGTTTTGAAGATATAGATATACATTCAATATTCTTATCATTCGTGTGATTCGAATTTTGATTGATTGTTTTTTTAGCGCTGTCTTATCTATTCAGACACATCGGAAACTTGATCTATATTTGACTAATAAATTTATTTTTGCTGATATACTTAAAAAAATACTGTAATATTTTACATACATGATGTGAATAAATGAAAATAGTCAATTCAACATTCAAATTATTGTTGCACAAAAAACATCTTGTGAATCTACAGAAGAATATACAGGAATAAAAGAATTGAAAATAAAAGGCTGTGAAATTTTGACAGGCAACGTAAAATTCTCCTCGAATCCCACAGATATGTCTAAAGCTATATATATCGCAACATCAACTTGTTCAAAAAGATTTTCAGATCGTTTCATATATTTAGTTGGGAAGCATTTTGAATTCTGAATTTTAATTAGATTTTGTCTAATACATCTCGGTACCAGAAACGGCCACGAAGAAGTGCTTCAGCAAAATCTTGCGCAAAAGTTTTCGCATCTCCATCTTTCTTTAAGACATAAACCCCATTACCAGCGATAATTCCCGCACGATCCAACAGTTCAATTCCTTCGCCAATACAAGCAATCGGTTTACCGTGTCGATAAGCTTCACGTAAAAATTGAATGGGTTGACCACTTTGATATTGAGGATAATCGTATAACAAGTACTTAATAGCGCTTTGTCCTCCGGCGACAAGAATTGCATCATTTAACACAGAATCCGTCGTAGCGAATGTTTGGCTAGCTATATAATTTGTCTCTCGTATGCGTCCTTGCTGTGGAGCAACAAAAATCAAATACGCTCCCATAGATTTCAAAATTCTGACAACAATATTCAGAGTAGAAACTTCAATACCATCTGCAATGTATATTAACACACGGCGTGTTCTAATTGTATTTCGAGAATATTGTTCTATACTAACAGCAGGTGATGAATTGTTTAGATTCGCATAAATTGCTGTAGGCACCGGAACATCAATAATACGAGCAATCTGAGATGCAAAGTCATGATCAACATAATTAAAATGATAGATCATTCTTGTTCGTATCGACATAGTTTCTACTAATCCAAGTTCAAAACGTAAAGCATTAATTAAATGTTGTTTTTCAATTTGAGTTAAACTATTGTAAAATAGTTGAGCTTGAGAATAGAAATTGAAAAATGATGGTGATTTTCCGCGAAAAGCTCGACCACCCGTTTGTTCACCATACGTCTTATATCCACCATGACTGGGTGGTGTTAGACGAGGACTACCATCTTGTAGTGAGTTCGGATAATAAGCGACCCTTCCCTTATTAACGACAGTTTGCATAAATCCATCACGTTGATTATTATGAATAGGCACGACTGGTCGATTAATGGGAATATTTTGAAAATTAGCACTATGATGACGATTAATTTGTGTATCCAAATAACTGAACAATCTTCCCTGTAATAGTGGATCATTTGTAAAGCCAATACCAGGAACAACGTGACCGATGTGGAACACAGATTGTTCAGTCTCGGCAAAAAAATTATCTGGATTTCTATTTAAAACCATTTTACCTAGTGGAATTACCGGAACAAGTTCTTCAGGAATAAATTTTGTTGGATCAAGTAAATCAAAATCGAATTTAAATTCCATATTTGGTTTAATAATTTGAACTCCAAATTCCCATTCGGGATAGTCACCATTTTCAATTGCTTCCCATAAATCACGACGATGGAAATCTGGATCTTTTCCACTAATTTTTTGTGCTTCATCCCATGCAAGGCTTCCCAATCCATATTTTGGTTTCCAATGAAATTTTACGAATACCCAATCATTGTTTTCGGCAATAAAACGAAACGTGTGAACACCGAATCCTTGCATCATGCGATAACTTCGAGGTATACCATGATCAGATAAAACCCATAAAACCATGTGAATTGTTTCAGGTGATAATGAAACAAAATCATAAAACGTATCATGAGCTGATGCAGCACTCGGAAATGATCGATCGGGTTCAGCTTTAACAGCATGAATTAAATCCGGGAATTTAATAGCATCTTGAATAAAGAAGATTGGTATATTATTGCCAACGAGATCGAAGTTACCTTCTTCGGTATAAAATTTGGTGGCAAATCCTCGAACATCTCTTACGGTATCGGAGCTACCACGTGGACCGGCAACAGTTGAAAATCGAACGAATACAGGTGTTTTAATTGATGGATCACTTAAAAATTTAGCACGTGTCAAATTTGACCAATCACCATATGATTGAAAATAACCATGGGCTCCGGAGCCACGAGCATGAACAACACGTTCAGGGATTCTCTCATGATCAAAATGAGTTATTTTTTCACGAAGTTCTAAATCTTCCAACAAAGTTGGTCCTCGTTCTCCCGCTTTTAACGAATCGCTATCGTTAATTTTTAGACCCCAGTTTGTTGTAATAAACGACTTGGAATCACTACGAGTAAAATACTTCATCTCTTCATCCTTGGCAGTACCATTTTGCCACGTTGTTTCAGACATCCATGGACTATTCTCATTGTAACGGCAATTATCCGTCACACAAATGGTGCTTTGTGGTAGTATGAAAGCAATTGTCAATATCAAGATTTGTGTATCGAACATCTTCGATAATAATTTTAATTTGATTTGAAATTAATGTCTTTTCTTCGTTACAAGGTTATTACGGTGTCAGGCTCACGTTGATTTTTTTCACACTACTAAAATAATATTAGAAATAGTGAAAATTTATAGAAAGATTTAACAGTATATCGATACTGTTAGACAATTATCGAAAACCTCATTTGAAATAGTACCGATTCTCAATAGTCCTCTTAATTTAGGTGAAAGAATCGTTTCTAGAAAACATTGCATTGATCTCAATGTAGCATTGAAAGGAAAATAATCGACTAATTCTATGTGTAAAAAATCAGTGTACAACAATCGTCACTTCACAGAATCATGACCTATATAATAATACTTGGAGGTTTCTGTGCATAACTAGAACGCTTTCTGTATTCAGATAAATGAAAACTGCCATTTAATAACTCGTGCGTAGATTATAAAGTGACTGGCTAAAATTGACATTTAATGCACAGAAAATTGTTAAAAAACAGTCAGTTGACAATTACCCTGCTCCGTCAAGTCTAAGTCCAGACTTGGACTTAACCACATCAGATTTACATATCGAAAAATCTAGCATCTGACATTGGCAGTTAAAATATCAACAAAAATTATGTATTCATTTTTTATTTCGCTATTATTACGAATGTAAATATGACGCTCTCTTGAAAAAACGTCTCTTCTTCGGTGACACCTATAGGACATTGACGGTTGACAACCAATTTACTGGCTAGTTTTAGATCGTTTCGACAGTTTTTCAGTGGTTTGACTTTACCATCGTTTTTCAACTGCCTAGGCTTTTTGAACCCCCACGAACTAACATTGTTATTTTATTTGTTGTACCCTTATTAAGGCTCTTTTCTCCCTTAGAATCTTTCCGAACTGTTCCCAAGGAAAGACTTTGGCATTGAGACAGTTTTCAATATATAACAAACTGATAAATGCGTTTACCTTTGATTTCTAATCTTTAAAACTTCGAAGCAATCAAAATTCAGCTGCTTCGTTTAACCATCTACTTACTGTTTATTTACAGCCAGTTAACTGGCTTTTTTTTCAAACACAAAAATATAGCGACCTCATGGCCACACAGAAAAGAAATGGTCTAAAAACTGTCTATTTACAACCTGTTAACTATCTAAAAACTGTCTGGTTTATCGACCGCTTTAGATCTTAAAAAATTACTGTGTAAAAACGGCCAGTACGCCGTAAACCAAAAAAAAACAGCCAATTAACTGTCTATAAATGAGTTGTTAACCAAACAGTGGTTTAGTAAGACCTAAAAGCGGCTAATAAATCAAACAGTTTTTAGACAGTTAACAGACTGTCAACTGATAGTTACTGAGCAGTTTACTGCCCACCTTTTTTCTTCTGGGCACTAGACATGGAAACTATAGTTTCGAAAAAGTAGTTCATACTTCTCTGCTCAGTACTACCCATGTAATCGTTTGCATTCGAAAAAACGAGTTTGAACGCTGTTTTGGCATTTAAATCTACGTTTAAACGCGTTTTGAAAAAACCTGTGTTTGCGTCGAATGCGTTAAAACGCCCTCATGTGTGAGAAGCGTTTGAACGTTTTTTTGATGAATTCTTGTTAAGCGTTTGATTATTAAAGGCGTTTAAACGCCGAAGATATTTTATACTCTGAACGCGTTTTAAGGCGTTTCGATTTGATTAGACGTTTGAACGCTGTTCTGAAACAAGTTACAACGGCGTTTGAGAGCGTTGCTATTATTAAACGCCTCTGCACGCTCTAGATATTTGATACTCCGAACGTATTCGAGGCGTCCTAATTTCAACAGACGCCTGAACGCAGTTTTGAAAAAGGTTCAAACATCGTTCAAAACCGTTTATATTATTAAACAGATTACATTTTTATTTTACTACTAACTCTCTCTAAATAAATGAATACATTACTTTTGAGACATACAAAAGCACAAGTCTTCAACTACATGTTTAAAAAGTCTCATTTAAAATTAGGATGTAACTTAAGTCATGTGTTCATCTGTTTATGAAGAGTTAACATTAAAATAAAATGCTACTGTACGGCTAATTTCTTCATCTGGAAAGAGTTATTTTAGAAATATGAAGGGCTCGCTAAAAAAACCTGGCGACATTTTTCAATAGGTAACTGCTTGTTCTGTTCATGCGCATCATAATCGCAGTACTGAAGAAAAGAAAAGCCCCTAGTACGTAATTAAGTACTTGAATTCGTATAAAAAATAAAAGAAAATGATGTACTTCGTTCGTTATAGTCGTCAGAGAATTTCGCTTCTTTCTTTGGTTTCTAAACTCTTTCGGTCCATAGTACACAATATGACAGAAAGATATATCAATCTTCGTCGAGCACCAATAGTTCAATGGTACATGTCATCCTCTCTATTATTTAGGTCTCATGTTCGAATCCGCCAGTCGCCGTCATGTCGTAAATAATAATTGTTCTTCTACTTCTAGGGAGAAGGATAGAGATATCTTGAAGGAAATGAACTGTATAGACAGCCATATCGATAGTGACACATAACATTTTTTGTTTTTGTTTTTTTCGAAAGTTTTGATAAACGCGTTTAAACGCTTCAAATATTTCATTTCTAGGCCGTTTTTAAACGTTTGATGAACAGAACGCGTTTGAACGGTGCAAATGTTTCATTTTTAAGCCGTTTAAACGCGTTTTTTAGAGTCGAAATTGTTACATGGTGATATTGTTATGATGATTGGTATCTTCACTATAGTGATAGTGATATGATCTAAAGGTCAGACATTTTTTAATGATTCTTTGTAAGATCACCATAAATAAACTTCCTTCAAAAAATGTGTAAAAAATAGGTCGTTATCTGCCCATAATGTTGTAATAATGGCTTCAGAATGGATATAAAAACGCTGCTCGGTGTGATATCAGCCAGCGTTTTTATATCCATTCCGAAAAAGTGGAAGTTTTAGTAAAACTTTCACTTTTTAGCATTAAAACGTTCTCAATTTAAATGAAAAAAAGAGGCTATCCGAATAGTCAGAAAATATGCATTTAACTAACATTATATACGATATTCATGGGTATTTAATAGAGAATTACGTACATCGTGTTTGACATCTTCGGTAGTGCACTGATCAAAACATACAAGTAATAAACAATTGTACGCGATAAAAAATTTAGTTTTAAATGTCGTCAAACTACTTTACCAAATAAGATTGTACTGCTCCCATTTAGACCCATTCTGTAAAATGATGTTTCGTAATCTGATCAAACCTTTTGAAATTCTCACTATTTCACGAAAAGATTAATTTACAAAACCCACATACCTCCTACTGAATATATCTATGTGTTTGGGACATTTAATAAAAAGTCAACTTTAAATGTCAATATAGAAAATGGATGAACATAAAAACTTGTTAAATTTCATATGAAACATAAAAAATAGATTGTGATATATATAACAACATAAGTGTAGCTCTTTATATATATTAAATCGAGTAGTCATCTATCACTGGGTTAGAGACGAAAGCGAGCTACAATAAAAGAAAGAGTGAGAGAAATTTCTTTTATTCATCGCTTTCAAGAAATCTATAGTATTCATCAGAGAATACGCAGATATCTCTTTCCACATAAGATATCCCATGTGCGGAGACTATTTCGTCTCAACATGTCAGTCGAATAGAAAGAGATACCTCCTTTGTTAATCGTGTATTGTTTAAGTTGTATGTAGAAGAAATTTATCTTTTCTTCTATTAGTCCTCTCACCAATCATAGTCGGTCGGCCGGCCGTTTAACAAAATATTTTTCTTTAACTATCAAATTTTGATATGACGATGAAGACAAAAGAAATAGATTTTGACTACTGTTTATTCGAAAATACAATGCAGTGTACTGTTTTGTTTTTTTAATAACTTCCAAACGTAAAAGACTTAAAAAATGTGTTAATTTCTGGAAACATCGAATTTTTCCATCTATTTCAGTTTAAACTACAATGGTACGTGGTCTCTTGACATGAAGCAACGCAAGAACAGCAAATCAACTGTCAATGCACCTAAAAAAAGAGACCAATTTTGACGGAACGTTTCTAGTATATATTATAGCTGATATCAAGACATTTTAGAATATATATTCAGAGTTCTCCGACCACAAGCCGTTACTATGATATCAGTGTTTTTCACAAAACTCTTTGTCATGGCAACAGCATTAAAATTCTTTGACTTGTTGAAGTACTCTGTTAATATGCAGATTTTTGTCACAGTTTTGGATGTCCAAATTATTGTTGAGTCAAAAATAATGATGGGATGGTCTGTCTACAGGCTCTGAAAATGGTTCCCTAATCTCGTTTACTTATGTAAGATCGATTTTTTGAAAAATACTGATATCTCAGTAACGGCTTGTGGTCAGAAAACTCTGAATATATATTCTAAAATGTCTTGATATCAGCTATAATATATACTAGAAAAAGTTCCGTAAAAGTCGATCTCTTTTTTCGAAGTTCAAATGCATTTGTGAGTAACCAAATGGCTTTTGATTGTACGAGTCATCGTCGTATGGCTACGTATCACAAGTTTGGTTGATCAAAATGCTTGACAAGTTTTACGGACAACATTTTTTTAAGTTAGAGATTCATCGAATTTCGTCAACAAATTTCAGTTATATTCTTTTTATTAGTTTCTATTTTGTCCATTACACACGATTTCTTGAATAATTCAAGTTGCAAAAAGGAATTTTTACGGAATCATAAATTAAAATATATTCATTAATTAAAATAACAAAAAGGATAATTTTCTCTTTTTGACTAAGGTGTGGGAAATTCAAAATTCAATCGCTATTTATTTTTCGATTTATATACATGATTAGATAGAGCTCGTCGAGCTGAACAAGAATATGTGTATTTCAATCTTCCAACAAAACTTTTTGAGAGTCAAAATTCGAAAAACCATCTTATTTTGAGAAATCAGCGTATATCTTTCAAACGGTGAGAGTCGAATGATGTACTTTTTAATGCTATCCAACCACTTTTATTTTTTTCGAATTT